CTACCCCCACATGTTCCTGGATTAAGAACTTTTTGACAAACAGACCACAGTCTGTTAGACTTGGCCCCGACCTTTCTTCCATTATTACACTCAGTACTGGTTCCCCCCAGGATTGTGTCTTAAGCCCCCTGCTATATGCCTTGTACACCTTTGACTGCTCACCAAGCCACGCAACAAACACCATCATAAAGTTTGCGGATGACACAACCATGATTGGTCTCATCTCTGGAGAGGATGAGGTGGCATATAGGGCAGAAGTAGAGAACCTGTCTATCTGGTGTTCACAGAACAATCTGTCACTGAATGTCCATAAAACCAAAGAACTGATTATGGACTTCAGGAAACATGGACAGGACCACGCCCCACTCATCATCAATGGAGAACAAGTGGAAACTGTCCCTACGATCAGATTCCTTGGCATCCATATTTCAGCTGATATCTCCTGTCCCCTAATACCAAGGCCATAGTGAAGAAGGCTCAGCAGCGGCTGCACTTTCTGCGGGTTCTCAGGAAGAACAATCTGGATAAGAAGCTGTTGCTGGCTTTCTATAAAGCCTCTGTGGAGAGCACTCTGACCTATTGTCTGGGTGTGTGGTATGCAGGCTCCATAGTTGAGGACAGGAAAACTGTAGAGAGGGTGATGGACACAGCTCAAAAGATCATTGGTTGCCCTCTGCCCTCCCTGGAAGACTTAGCCAGGTCCCGCTGCCAAAGCAGAATCAAGGCCATCATAGAAGACCCCTCACACCCTGGCAATTATCTTTTTGACCTGCTGCCGTCTGGACGGTGTTTTAGGTCAATAAAATCCCACATCACTATACTAACAAATAGTTTCTTTTCCTGGGCCATCCGAACCGCAAATAAACACGAAGTCACTACCTTATTAAGATGTGAAAAGATGTGAAATCTCAATACCCCATTCAGATGAATAATAACATATTACAGTACAATCCATCTCTTGTGTATTATACTCGGCTAAGCGTTGCAGTCAGTGTTGGATGTATATTTTTTGTATATTCGTAGATATTGTACTCTCAAATTGCAAATGGAGACATGAGTACTCTATTTTTCTTCATTTTTAAGTGCTTTGGTTTTATTGTATTGCAAACAGTTGCTGGGGTGCATCCACAGTTCCATTGTACTTGTACAATGACAATAAAGTTCTTCTAATTCTTCTAATTTATGACCCAAAATGTGTTTTAGGCATTTGGTATTGGCTGCTGAAGATTTGTTGATTCTGGAGGAGATAAAATAACACTCTTGAAATGGACCACAATGGGTTCAAAAATCATAAAAAAAGGAATATGAGTAAAGAGAGTCATGTCTTCCTGCAGTGCCTACCCATCCCCCCCCCCCCCCCCCATTCTATACCACCGGAACTCTGCAGTACTTGGGTTTCTTTCCCATTTGTCTATCATGTAGCACATCTTCTAAAACTCTCTGGACTTCATGTTGTGGAAGGAGGGCAGACCATGTGTCTCTGGGCCATGCAGCAGTGATCCAAATGCAGCCATCATTTTGTCCTGCCTGTTTGTGGCAGTTTGTTCCCAGACTATGTAGCAGTGATCCTAATGTAGCCATTTTGTGTGCAGAACAAAATGCACAGCCACTTTTGCAGCCATGGCATGCAGCTGCGCAAAACAAAAAGATATTCCAGGGTTCTGGAACACCTCAGAGCTCTTCAAAAGGCAAGTGAGGAGAGGAATGTTTGGCCTGGTGCAGTGGGAATCAGGTCCAAGGTCTGGTGGGAATGGGAAAAGGCCTGTTGGGTACTAAAGCATGGAAGTGGAGCATGGAGTGTTTTGCAGGTAGGAGAATCTTTAGAAGAGCCAGGGCAGGCAGGCCTGGGCTTGTACTAGGCCTCTCCCACCCAGAAGGCACCCCACACTTCACATAACGATCCACACATTTGTTTATGTTTCACTGGGGAGAGCAGGAGTGGAGTTGTTAGATGATGTGTTTCACATGACGACTGCTATAACGTGTAATTGTAATGGGCAGGCACCATTGCAGTCATGTCTTGAGGTCTGCCTGTATGATAATGGAGTTTACAAATATTACTTTAGAAGTGATGCATTCAGCAAAGGGTACTGTTCCAGCTACCTATGTATTGTGGCTTTTGCTTATTTAATGTTTTCCAAGAAGTGTTTGACAGGCAGCAATCAAGACTACTTATTCATATATCCTTCAAAAGGTTAAGCTGGATTGATGAACATATATATCATCTCAGATTCTAAAGTTATTTCAATTCTACAGCTGCCAGTTTTGATCCAGAGATTGGTGAAAAAATTGCTTCAGATGCACTTTTTCTAGTCTTATACAAATGTGGATTATATTATTTTGTTTATTACTGGTTTTATTTTAAAGCCTGTATTGTTGAGAAAAACCAGGGACATTGCTAATACATGTTGCTTTTCTTTATACTGATTTTGCCTAGATATTCTTCCCTCCACATATCTCATATAGTTTTTTAGATATTCCTAATGAGCCAGACTGTTGCTGAGAATAGGAAAAAATTAATAAACACCAAAATAATGACTAAGATTGAATTCTTTTTATCTGCTACAAGAGTAGAAAATAGCCAGCTCAACATTCTTTAGTTTTTTGACACTCAAGGTGTGATCAGAGATTACTTACCAACTGCAAGAGAATGGGGAATGAGTTCATTAAAATTGTGTCACACATAAAAGAAAATGTCTTCCAATATGACTTGTAGAACAGTTTACATTCTTTCCCCCTTTTCTTTTAAAGGAATATTGAGATCTTAACTGAGATCTTTCTTTTGAGGTTTAAAAATGACTACTATTATATATATCCTTATATATGGTGTTAGAAATGTTAAGGTTTTTATTACATATAAAGTTATGTATGAAATTACATGCTTGTGCTTTCTTTTTCATGTCCTTTAAGTATTATTTTAAAGAAAGAATTAGTTGGCCTTAAGTGTAAGAGAAATAGAACCAAAATGGGGCCAGTGAAAAACAAATTATATATATTAGAGTGTAAAAACTACTTCTTGTTATTTTAAAAACAATAACAAAATATCAAGATAATAAAATAGACTCTATGCACAAAATAGTTTTTTTTTGTTTTATTTTTAAAATTTCCCCCTTTTTTAGAATGGAAGGGAAGATTAAAGCTCTTAGTGTTTTTTTTCTTTTTCATCTTTATAATCCAAGGTTTTTTTGTGCGTATTAGTATTGGGCTTTTTATTTCTTTTATCATATATGTTTTTTATAAAATAGGTTAGTATTTTTTTACATACATACATACTCTTTTATACAGTAGTAATATATGTGTCATTGTATAGTTATTTAATTTATACATTTAGTTAGATATTCATAATTAATGGTTTTAAAGAAATGTTGAATAGCACTGTTTTTGTAGCTTGATAAAATATATTTAAAAACTGCAATAGATTTTTTGAAAGACTTGGATTATGCATATCCCCATCTAGTTATAGAGTTTTATAAGAAGTCCAAATACTGTGCCCTACATTGTAACTCTGCCTCTACCGACATCTTTATTTTTTTCCTTAGTAGAAAAAAATTCTGATAAAAGCATGAAATACTTTGTTCTCCTCAGACATAATTCTACCATGACCAGGTAGGAGCTACCAGAAACAAAAAGGAAGGATAAATCTAAATAATCATAACAATAAGTTGTAGGAGCATAGTAATAATAATAATAATCTGTGAACACGCTAGGCATGCCTATAGAGAAAAACACCCGTGATGGCAAATGGCAAAATGATACAGCTTCTGCAAAAACCAAATATAGACAGTTGTATTGCACCAAAGCTTGAGTGCCTTAGGTGCCAACAATATTTAGTCCTGCCCTGGGTCATAAGGGAAGATGACACTCCCTAGAAATGACTCCCTATTCAGCAGCTTTTGGCCATTAAAATCCTGGCAAGAAAACAGATTTGTTTGGCAGTAACACACTACAGAGCGGTAATAACCAAGGCAGTGAATTTCTGCTTTGATTGTGTTAACTGCCAAAGCATCCACTGTACTTAGGACCAAGAGGAGGACTCCATAGCTTTGAAGCCTGCTGACTGGTTTTCTAAAGGTTGAAATCCAACCCAATTCTATACAGTGTTCCCTGTAGGAAACGGTTCATTGTTACCTTGAGATGGGCCAATTCTCAGCAAATCTATTCTTGATAGATCTTTTTATAAATTGGGATTCTACCCATTTTCTCTAGATAAGGTTTATATCTTGTGTTACATTACTGTTCGAAGTCAAACAATCCTTTACCTATTGTGTGTGTGGACAATAATTCTATTTGAGTTAGACCCTGATGTATAAAGCATTACTTAGTGCTTGTTTGCATACTTGCTAATGAAAAATAACAAATTGGTGATGCTCATATGCCTGTGGGTAATGTAAAGAACAAAGCAAATTGCAAAATGTTTGTTTTCTGTTGCTACTGGGATGTAAATGACCTGGGCTCATTATTGCCCTAAAGTTGTTTAACACACCATAAAATGCTCTGGAAATTAGAAGCAGGATTCCCCCTCCCCTGTGTGTCCTTGGCCCACCTGGTGTAAATGAAGAGCTTCTCGCTGTATTTTAGCTGTCAACCTACTGTGTTTCTACAATCCAAAGCAGGATTGCCCATGCTATTTGAGCTGAGATTTTTGTATTGCTTGAATACTCTTTTGTCTGGAAGGAGGTAATTGTTCTCTTTCAGCTAATATTGCAGGAGGCCATTCATCCAGGGACTCTCCAACAAAACTAAATTCCTGTTGATTTGATTCATCAGCTGCCACATGGAAGGTTTTGGAGCATGGAAAGAAATGTGTTTTCTCCTGTTTAAACAAGATTATTTATCCCTTCAGCAAGAACTGAAAAATGAGCTTTTATTCCTTTTCTTTTGAAATTTCTTTCCCAGTTTTGCTGAATTTGCTAAAACAGTCTAACCTTTTAATAAACAGTCATTATGAAATAGACTCACTTTTAGCATTTCATTCTAATTGTTTAATTTCTCTCTCCTAGGGGGTTCACGTACAGGCAGATTACATCCCCTTGTTGAACTCTCTTGCAGTATATGGTTGGCAGCTGACCTGTGTGCTTCCCACTCCAATTGTAAAGACAAAGAGGTATGGTCAAGAGACAGTCTTTCCTTAAGTTTAAGAGTCAGTCATAAAAATTGTCATTGATCTTACAATAAGCCTGCACAGAAGCTGCCTATATAACAATAGAGCATGAAGTGTTCAGCCCTTTCTCTTTTTATGCCGATAATCTTGCAGTGCAAGTAGAAAGCAGTCTTTGGCAAGCACAGGGGAGACTATGCAAGCTGCAGATGGAAGTCCTATCAATTATCTGAGACATTATCAATTGTTTAATTTTCTTTTCCTGATAAAAGTATGGTTGAAGTCATTCCTCCTTGCTGGCTTATATCCCAATTGTCTTTCATGTGGGAGTGATATTCACCTGCACAACATCTCACACTTTCTCAAAGAGTCTTTAATCTCCAGACACAGGGATCTTTTTGGAGGGGGCTATGGAAAGCTACAGGGGAAAGCAGGAAAATTTCATCCCATGAATATAAATTATTGTCATAGAATTCAAAGATATAAAAGCTATATAGCTTCCATGCCATTTGCTGCTACTATCCCTTGTATGTCTGCCATTTATCTTTGTTCCTTTGTAGAAGGCTTAATCTTTAAACATCATTAGCACTAGATCCAGTGTGCCAGGGTATTAAACCAGTATCTTAAGCCAAAAAACAAACGCAATTCCCCTGCCTCTCTAAAAAGTACTGAATTTTTACTTGTGTCTTTAAAATGGTAGCCAGGATATAATGTAGAATTAGTGAGGATCTTGATTAGCCCTACTTAATATGATGCGCTAGCCTTGAATTGCTGTCCCCAAAACAATGCAAATACTTAATTCCCATCCTCCCCTTAAAGATAGTGCTTGAGCACCACATATAGATTGTTCTATTTTTCATAGAAAATGACTAGGCAGTGGTAGCTTGGCTTATCAGTTTGAATTCATTTATCAACATGGATTATTGCTGATTTCATTCATTTTTACATTCTGTTTCCTGTAACTTCAACTACCGGTACATCTGTAGTATGTTAATCTGTTATTAACCATTCTGATGGAGGGGAGCAAATTACATTAGGATTGAAGCACCCACAATTGTACTTATTTAAATATTAGGATTGCAACATCCATAAAGGGGAGGTTCCTGCTGCCAGGGAGATGTGGGCTGACATAGAAGGCAGATGGGCTTTCTTTTGACCTTTGTCCCCCAGCAACTGCAAAACTATTTCCTACAATTCAGCTGGCAAAATTCCATTCAGATTTCATTTCACTATCAATTGGCAGGTTCGATTCAGATATTAATGAACTTTTTCAATATGAATCTATTTAATCAGATGTTCGAAAGCTAGTAATTGTCATATTATATGTTTTTTATTTCCATAAACTAATTATCTTCTGAATGGCTGTAAATGATTGGCTCAGTATTTGCAAGTATCTTTGTAGCTATGGAATAAGCCACTCAATTAAAGCATAATCCTGAATGGTTAATTAGAAGGGCCAGCAAATTTAAGAAAGAAATTACCTCAAATATTTTAATAGGTGGTAGCACTTATTCTGTATTGCCAGTGCTTAAAAATTAAACAAGATCAAGCCTGGTTAATATTTGAATAGAAGGCCTCTATTGAATACCTAGGCTGTAAACCAGACTGAAAAGATGTCTTGGAAGAAGGCACTTCTGTAACAGAACCAAAAACAAAACAAAATACCTGTTCGTACATGTCCATTAGTCATCAGAGGTTGACCTTGACTGAAACAAGACTTTATTTTAATAGACACAGGTGAAACTCGAAAAATTAGAATATTGTGCAAAAGTTCATTTATTTCAGTAATGCAACTTAAAAGGTAAACCTAATATATGAGATAGACTCATTACATGCAAAGCAAGATAGTTCAAGCCCTGATGTTTCATAATTGAGATGATTATGGCTTACAGCTCATGAAAACCCCAAATCCACAATCTCAGAAAATTAGAATATTGTGAAAAGGTTTAATATTCTAGGCTCAAAGTGTCCCACTCTAATCAGCTAATTAAGCCATAACACCTGCAAAGGGTTCCTGAGCCTTTAAATGGTCTCTCAGTCTGGTTCAGTAGGAATCACAATCATGGGAAAGACTGCTGACCTGACAGTTGTGCAGAAAACCATCATTGACATCCTCCATAAAGAGGGAAAGCCTCAAAAGGTAATTGCAAAAGAAGTTGGATGTTCCCAAAGTGCTGTATCAAAGCACATTAATAGAAAGTTATGTGGAAGGGAAAAGTGTGGAAGAAAAAGTTGCACAAGCAGCAGGGATGACTGCAGCCTGGAGAGGATTGTCAGGAAAAGGCCATTCAAAAGTGTTGGGGACTTTCACAAGGAGTGGACTGAGGCTGGAGTCAGTGCATCAAGAGCCACCACACACAGATGGATCCTGGACATGGGCTTCAAATATCGTATTCCTCTCGTCAAGCTGCTCCTGAACAACAAACAACGGCAGAAGCGTCGTACCTGGGCAAAAGAAAAACAGAACTGATCTGTTGCTCAGTGGTCCAAAGTCCTCTTTTCTGATGAGAGCAACTTTTGCATCTCATTTGGAAATCAAGGACCCAGAGGAAGAATGGAGAGGTACACACTGCAAGATGCTTGAAGTCCAGTGTGAAGTTTTCACAGTCTGTTGATTTGGGGAGCCATGTCATCTGCTGGTGTTGGTCCACTGTCCTTCATTAAGTCCAGGGTCAACTCAGCCATCTACCAGGAAATTTTGGAGCACTTCATGCTTCCTTCCGCAGACGAGCTTTATGGGGATGCTGACTTCATTTTTCAGCAGGACTTGGTACCTGCCCACACTGCCAAAAGCACCAAAACCTGGTTCAGTGACCGTGGGATTACTATGCTTGATTGGCCAGCAAACTCGCCTGACCTGAATTCCACAGAGGAATCTATAGAGCATTGCCAAGAGAAAGATGAGAGACATGAGACCGAACAATGCAGAAGAGCTGAAGGCCGCTATTGAAGCATCCTGGTCTTCCATAACACCTCAGCAGTGCCACAGGCTGATAGCTTCCATGCCATGCTGCATTGAGGTAGTAGTTGCTGCAAAAGGGGCCCAAACCAAGTACTGAGTACATATGCATGCTTATACTTTTCAGAGATCTGATATTGTTCTATGTACAATTCTTGTTTTATTGATTGCATGTACTATTCTAATTTTCTGAGATTGTGGATTTGGGGTTTTCATGAGCTGTAAACCATAATCATCTCAATTATGACACATCAAGCCTTGAACTATCTTGCTTTGCATGTAATGAGTCTTTTTCATATATTAGTTTCACCTTTTAAGTTGCATTATGAAATAAATGAACTTTTGCATGATATTCTAATTTTTTGAGTTTCACCTGTACATGTAGTGTACTGGGGAAAAAAGTTGATGGTTTTTGATTTAGCGTTGGCCTCATGCCTGTTTCAGGTTAGGGTTGCAGTTAGTGCTACAGAGCCTGCGTGATGGAGTGGCATTGGGGAGACCAGTTTCAATCTGCATCAATGATGGAAGCTCACTGGGTGGCTTTGGAATATGATAGAGAGTTTCTCAGCCCTACCCACCTCATATTTTCAGGGAAAATGGAAGAAAGTAGCATTTATGCTCTTCCTTGAGCTTCTGGAAGGTACAAATCTGAACATAAATTATATTTCAGACAATTACATAAGTAAGTATTCTGTGTGTATTAGTCCATTGCCCATACCTCTTAATTGATGGGATATGGGCAACAGTATGTTGGAATGTGAAAGAGTGTAAAATTAGAAAAATCTATCAATAAAGAAATGAAAAATACTTTATTAGATTCAAATATGTTTTTCTTTTCTCCTTTTAGGCAAAAGCAACAAATTCCATTAGCCCTTAAACATAAACTTATTATGGTGCACATGTTTTGGCTTTTAAAGTGTCATCTTGTGTTTTATACAGATTTATAGAAGTCCTTTAAGCCTTTTCAGATGTATGAAGATCCTAGTTTTGTTTTGCATTTGTGAACCAAAGAATGTTTGTGGAGATCTTTAAAATAAGAATTTGGAAATTTAGAATTTGGACTGAATACAGTCAAAATATGTAAGACCATTTTTAAAATGGACTGGCATGGTTCTCCCAACATGCAGTAAATTATGATACATATTCTTTTTTTAACCAAATCTTCTCTTAGAAATAAAGGTGATATAGTATATGTGACTATATTTTTGGAGAGAGTTGGAGGTTGGACTGTCTACCTTAGGCCTTACTATTGAGACTTTAGTTAAAGAAACAATGAATTAAGATACAATCTGTACAGTCTTGAGTTTTGTCAGACAGTGAATACAACAGGTGTTTTCTTTGCTTACATTCATAACAGCACGAGGATTCATACTATAAGAATTACACATTTTAAGAAATGTTTATTGATTAAAAGTTTATTTTTCAGTTCAAAAAACATTTTAATAGCTAAAAAAAATATGTGGTGTCCACTTAATATCCTTTTATACCTTGGATGGACCTTCCATCCTGTGAGGCAAGGCGCATCTATAGTCGGCAAGCCTTGTTACAAATCACGTTAGTAATACTATTGCTAAATTTGCAGATGATACAACAGTGGTGGGACTTATCTCCAGAGGGGATGAGTCTGCCTATTGAGATGAGGTGGACCGGTTGCTTTTGTGGTGTGGAGACAATAACTTGGTCCTCAACACCAATAAGACCAAGGAGCTTATAGTGGATTATAGAAGGAACAGATCAGACATCCAGCCCTTGCTTATCAATGGAGACCGAGTGGAGCAGGTGGCCAGTTTTAAGTTTCTGGGTGTTACCCTAAAAGAGGACCTGACCTGGGGTGCCCACATTGCAACCCTGGTCAAAAGGACCCAGCAGAGATTATACTACCTGAGGCGTCTCAGAAAACAACTGAATGAGAAACTGCTGGTGATCTACCGCTGCACCATAGAGAGCATTTTAACATACTGCACCTCTGTATGGTTTGCCAATTGCACAGTGGCAGATAGGAAAGCACTCCAGAGGGTTAATATCATTGCCCAGAAGATCATCGGTTGCCCTCTCCCCTCTTTGGAAGAGCTTTATAGCTGCCACTGCTTTAAGAAAGTTCAAAACATTTTCAAAGATCCATCTCATCCCGGGAACCCTTTTTTTGAACTATTACCATCTGGCAGATAGTACAGAATAATAAAAACAAGGACAAATAGGCTGAAAAACAGCTTCTATCCCAGGGCAGTAGCTCTTTCTGCTGTATAGTGCAGTGTTGGTGTGGTGTCGGGGGTTTCCAGTTCAATGTGTGAAGAGTGAAGGATGTGTGTTTGTGTTTATTTTCATGGTCATGGTCATGGTCATGATATGCATTAAAGATGGTGTTTGATTTCATTGTACAAGGTGCAATGACAATAAAGTAAACTAAACAAAAGCTGCTGTTGAAAGAATTTCTTGAAAAGTAACAGGAAGGAATTGTTATTAAATTCCTGAGTAACCATATTAAATTAACTCATGTTAAATTTAAACCAATTTTAGTTTGTAATGAAAGTCTGACACATCACTCAAGGGTCAAGTCTTCTGCCCATAGATGGTCTACAAATTGTGTCACAATGAAAGAAAGTTCAGAAGAAGCTTATAGACAATTGACTAATACTAATCCCAGTGGCTTAGCCTGGTGAAGAACTTAGTGTGTGTATGTTTTAATTTTAGTGAATGGTCCTTAATTTTGAAGGTGGACATATGGAAAACATTCTCAAGCTAGTGTTTTTAATTTTTATTTTGTAGAGATGGAAAACTAGCCACAAAGCAGATTGTCTTTCTTCAGAGACCTTTCCTGCCCCAGAAAAACAAGAGGAAGCAACCTAAGGTATATAGCCTTACACTGTTCAGTGTATTTATCTTGGCAAAGCTTGCATATTTTAATTTAATTTAATTGAGTAACTTATACTTTAATAAGCAACATGTCAATTGCTTATTTAAATTTGCTATTATTTTCAATTATGGCTGAGTTATCAAAGCTAACTAACAGCAATAAAATATATAGGTGATAAAAGAAGTGGAAGCAAGGACAAGGAACTTGTGGCTTAACAGCTTTTAGGTGAAGTAACACACAACTCCTCTTAGTTCAGTCAGCCTTGAGGAATGCTAGGAATTCTAACTTAACAGTAGTTGAAATATGGCTTGCTTCCTTTCCATCTCTCCAATGAGTTATTACTCTCCCACCCTTTTGCCTTTACATGTTTAATGCCTGAACTCTACTTTGGTTAACTAAAAGGAAAAACATGTCAAAAGTAATGTCACAAAGTAAAATGTTTCAGTTTATGATCTTTATTACCCAGGAAAAGAAAAAGAACCAAAATACCAAGTGTTACTTGGTAGGGATATGTCTAAATTCACAGGTAATAGTGTGAGACTTCGGAATGGCACGTTTAATTGCAAACAGAGGCATATATTGTCTAATTAGATCTGAATGAGCTTATTGAAAATGAGAGACTTGTCCCCTTGTCAACCATAAGAGAAATTTAAAAGGCTATAGTATTTTTGATTGTGTCAAATGCTACAAAATTTGCAGCACAGTTTATAACAGGAATAAGATTGCTAATGTAATCAAAACTTTTTGAACCTATACTTTTTCAACAACTATTATTTAAATTTCTGTTGTTAAGTGAGAAATTTGTTGAGTGAATTTTGCTCCATTTTACGATCTTTCTTGCCACAATTGTTAAGTGAAATGCTGCAACTGATAAATTAGCCACCCAGTTGTAACATGAATCTGGCTTCCCCATTGACCTTTGCTTGTCAGAAGGTTGCAAGAGGTGATCTCATGTCCTTGGGAAACCAATGGTCATAAGTATGAATCAGTTGCCAAGCATCTGAATTTTGATCACATGATCATGAGAATCTGCAAAGCTGCAGATTCTGCAAAGCTACAAAGATTATAACTGAAAAATGGTGATAAGTCATATTTTTCAGGGCTGTTGTAATTTTGAATGGTCACTAAGTGAACTGTTGTAAGTTGAGGACTACCTATACAGCCTCAACTTTTTACTTTTACACATTAGTATATAACTAGCCATTTCTAAATCTATCTAATCAGCAAAACCAAAGACATTTATTTTTCATCACAAGCACAAAATCCAGAAGTTATATCCAAATAAAAACATATTTAAATATATTCTTCTCTTTGAATAAAACAATCAACGTAACCATTTCTGCTTTATCTTCCTTGCTGAGTAAATAATGTGTACCGTATATACTCGAGTATAAGTCGACCCGAATATAAGCCGAGGCACCTAATTTTACACAAAAAACTGGGAAAACTTATTGACTCGAGTATAAGCCGAGGGTGGGAAATAAAGCAGCTACTGGTAAATTTCAAAAATAAAAATAATTAATTTGGGAAACGATCTCACTATCTCACGTCGCCTTGGGAAGGGAAAGGCAAAGCGCTTTTTGCCTTTCCCTTCCCGGCTGGGGCTGTTGGGAGTCGCCGCCGCCTGCCTTTCCCTTCCCGGCTGGGGCTGTTGGGAGTCGCCGCCGCCTGCCTTTCCCTCCC